GAGGTGAAGACGTTAGTGATGCTCTCATGAGGCGCCAGACTGTTTGCCAATGGAAGAAAGTCGAATGATCATCACGAGTAGTAGGTGTGATTGAACAAACTCAAGAACTCCGGCGGCGTTGGCTGCTAAGGTTAACCCTAACTTATTATCCAATCTCTTTGAGCACTCTTATTTGCATTTCTTAATGTTCTGGGTTCTGCGTTTGTCCCCCAGGTTGTTGGTTGAAGATACCTGTAGGTAAGGTAGTTTAAGGTGCCTTAGTCATGTCATTGACGATCACGTGCAAACGAACTAGTACCTGGAGCAACCAACTTCAACTTCACCATTGACGACAAGTTTTTCCGTACAATACCAGACAGACACCAAAGATTCCCCCCCCCCCCTTCTTTCTGCTTTTCCTGTAACTGGAAAAGTTATGGCATGTTCAGCCCTTTCGTGGCTGAACGACTAAACAAGATCGTTCCCTGAAGCTGCCAAACTAGAGTTGCTCGATATCCTTCAATCTTGGCCAAATCCGGCGATCAGAGAGGACGGCCAGACCGGACCTCAGCCATCTAGATTCTCACGGCATGGATCTTCTGGCAACAAAAAATGGATTAGGATTCAATTGTGGCTTTCCAGAGCAAAGGCTAGTAGCGGTGAAGAGGCCCATTGTGTGAGTATGATCGACCAACACAACACCAGCAAGTGCTGAATCCACATGGAGAGCCAGCTAGCCACAGGTATGCTAGGCCAGAGCCGCGATACCACTGTTGTGGTGTTTGTCCTCCATCGTGGATCCGATCGAAAAGCAAGGCTTTATTGGGCGATTTGGAATACGGCCTAGTTTAGATCCAGTTTTATCTGGTTTGGAGAATGGAGATCTCCTACAGGGACCTATTGGAATCTTCTCAAGATGTATTCACTTGGAGATTCCGGCAGGTCTCTTTTGCTCTTGCTTTCTTCATGTTAGACTCTACATGTTCTGTCACTCAAGATTGACATTTCCCGAGTTTATGGCAATTTGGGATCTGTATCAACATCATCATGGTCACAGGTGCATGAGTAGGTCATGCCTCGGCCTCGCTTCGTTACTGAATCTTTGACTAGGACCTAGGACATCTATTGTACCTGCATCAGAAGCTGCAGGAACAGGCGGGAGAGCTACAGGCCCCTAAACGCCTCCAAATCCATTCCGAGAGCCGACCGCCATCGGTCACGTCTGGGCCCTTGCCGTCCCCACGTGTACAGTATCAAGATTCACCTCTGAAAGCCTGTTACGCTCTAGTGACTGTCGCAAAATCGGCTTTCTACGCCTCTTCGTCTCTCACTCTACCAACTAGACTTAAAAGACCGATCCACTAGAAGGAACTCAACTCGCCCACTTCTCGATCTACGCCCGAATTAGCAATAGAGGAACTTACCCGGTTGAGCTGTTTTGGATAGTCTCGTCCTTAGCAGAACTGGCCGATTGATACTACCTTTGAATTTGGCGTGTGTTGGGCGCTTAGTGGCGTCTGTCTACGACTCCTGCTTCGGGAAGGGTTGTTCTGGTTGTGCCACGAGCTCATCGGTGTCCACTGGCGTCTTCTGCACTATGATGTTATTTAGTAGATTTGTGGCATTGTGGATGGGCACGGGGCTTCCGGTTCCTGAGTCCATGGCTGACATGGCTGAGTTCGTTAAGCTGGTCGAGAGGCGAGGAGATTTGCCTTGGTAGTCATGGAACAATCGCAAAGGATAAATATCCTCGAAGCCCCCGTTCCATAGCCAGTCTCTTCTCATCATCCAACAGCAGCTTCTGAAGCCATCAGCCTACTCTCACACTCTCTTCTTCGGATCACATTCTTTCTTTCATTTGCCCTGGGGCACCACTCTCTTTAAACATCAAGACTGCTTGCAACGTCACTGAGGTACCGGATACCCGATCTCACTTACAACAACCTCGACAGCTATTTGCAACTATCTATCCTCTCATTTGATAACAACAAAATCATGTTCTCTCTTAGAACCATTGTCGCTGGTGCGACTATCGCCTTGGCTGGCATGGCCCAGGCCACCCACATTGACTACCCACCTTGTCTTGACCCTTTTCAGCCCTATGTTTCATCTGGATGTTACATGGATGGTGTTGAGGGCCATATGGGTGGTGCGCTCATCTACCGCTCCGGCCAGAACCAGTACAACATGACTGTCGAGAAGTGTGTTGCCGAGTGTAAGGGTAACGGCTTCCGGTATGCTGGTCTCAAGTACTATGGTGTCTGTTACTGCGGTTCCACCGTTGGTGGCATTCAGCTTCCTGACAGCCAGTGCAACTATCCCTGCACCGGTGATCAAACCGAAACTTGCGGTAGTGACAATGCCTTCTCCATCTGGCAGGATCCCACTTTCAAGCTCACCAACCTTGGAGGAGTTGTTACTCAGCTCCAAGGAACTGTCCAGTCTATCGCCGGCTATAAGCCCAACGGTTGCTACACTGACAACTCCTCCAAGGGCCGAGCTCTGACATGGCCCATGGATATTGACGGTTCTCAGATGACCCCCACGACTTGCTTGAATGCCTGCGCTGACCAGGGCTTCCCTTTTGCTGGTCTTGAATATGGCGGTGAATGCTACTGCGGTAACGTCCTGGCTAACGACACAGTCAAGGCAGATGTTGGTGACTGCAACGTTCCTTGCAACGGTGACAAGACCCTGCTCTGTGGCGGACCTAGTCGTTTGAGTGTCTATGTTGCTGAGGATCTGCTTTCTCTTCAGCCATGTGGCTGGAAGGCCAGCAACTCTGCCTCTGTCTCGGCTTCCATTTCTCTCTGGTCATCTACCTCTACCACTTCCGCTGCTACCTCAAGTGTTGCTACTTCCAGCTCTTCAAGCACCATTCCTGTCGTTAGCTCCGGATCGATTGTCACCAGCTCTTCCACAACTTTAAGCACTTTGACCAGCACTGCTGGAAATGGGCAGTCTTCTACTACGGGTCAGCCTTCTGGTCCTTCTGGTCCTTCTTCCACTACCAGCAAACCTCCGGGTCCCTCCAACGCTTCTTCCACCAACGGTAATGGCCAGTCTACCACCAACAAGCCTTCCACTACAACCACTACGTCCTGCAGTACCACTACTGGTCCTGCTATGTGTACTTCGACCGTTGTCGTACCCAACACCTGCGAGTACAAGTGTGGTAACTGGTGTGCGCCGTCTGTCCCTGACTTCCAGGATCAAAACAGTTGCCAGACCGCCTACAACAACTGCGCCAAGAACATTGCTGCTTGCTTCCAGAACGCCGGCTGGCCCGGCGCTCTGAACTGCTTCGACTTCTCTAAGTGGTGTGATGGTGTTCAGGGCTACTGTGCTTCTTCTTGCTCCCGTGGTCGTAGCTGCAACAAGCTTGGCTGCATCAAGAACAACGCTCCCACTGGCGGAAACAGTGCCTCGACTACCACCAGCGTCTATCCCTGCGCCGTCACCAGCACTTCCACCACTTCTTCGGCTGCTGTCACCTCTTGTGCTCCTCAGCCCACCAACATTTGCCAGCAGCCCAGCTCCAACATCTGGGGCTACGGTCCCGGCAACCCTGTCGGTGGTATTGAGCTGCCTCTTGTTGCCTGTAATGACTTGAAGAGCGACTTCTCTCAGAATCCATTCAAGCTTTACACCAATACCAACTCCAATTCTTGCTCTTCTTATCGCCGCAACCAGCAGTCCAGTGCTTGTGCCGACGCCTGCAAGGCTCAGTACAACTCTTGTGTCGGTACCTATGTCCAGAGCTGCAAGAAGCTTAACACTCGCAGTGATAACAGCAACTACTTCGACAAGCGATCTCACTCCCACTTCCACAAGCGCGCCCTCGAGAAGTCTGGTATTGAGCCTCGCTTCTTCAACCTATTCGGTAACGACCAGTGGCAGAGCGCTCAGAATAAGTGCTCCATCCAGTATGCTGACTGTCTCTGGGAGAACGCCAATGTGAATTTCAGCAGCCGCTGCCAGAACTTCGGCACTGGTCTATAAGGGATGTTCGCTCAGTGATCTGGAGTTTCGGAGATTGGTGGTCAAAAGCGGTGGCGGTGTTTGGGTTCGAGCATGAGACGGGAGATCTGGTTTGTACTTTGCCATTTGGTGTTAGCTACTGTTTCCACATACACTCGTTTGGTTGTCGTTTTATTGATTAGACTATCGTTCGCTAAACAGAAGCTGTTTTGTTTTGATACGCCAACTTCTTATCTTTGCCTTGCTTTGTAAACTTCATCATAAATCTTAGCATGATTCTGTGTTTGTGTTCTCCGTCCTCATCATCATAAGCTTTGAGAAACTATCTATTTGAATCAAGAGAATACCTTTACAATAACTTGCTGGAGTGGATAAGTATCTCTTGGATATAAGGTAAGTTAGGATATCATGAGTAACTCATAGCATTGTTTAAATTACAAAATGATATCCGATGTACCGTTTTTAACAATACAATATAGATATCTGCCCAAACATGTGAAGCAATTTTCGTCTCTCTAGGGTAATTATCACAATTTCTGAGAGCCGCTCATCTTTGGTATCATATTAGATTGACGGAAACTGCACCATTGAAAACAAATAGGTTGCTCTATATGGCCTCAGAAACAAAAAGTACCTCTCGGTTGAACTGTGTTTTCATCCCGTGTCGACATAATCAACACGAGAACCAGGCAAGTGTTTAGTCTCAGCCATGAAATCAAAGACTAGAACAAAATATAAACAGGGAACAAATCAACCATTGATATATTCCTTCAGAATATGGCTTCATCCCACAACTTATGATATACAGTAACATAGCAATAATGAGAAGTATCTTTCTCAAGGTACCTGAGGTCTATTCAACGTAAGATATATATATACAGTGTGTAAAGTATATATAAGAGCGACATTGGCACTGTACAAAACACGCGTCAGGTAAAGGTACAAACTTAAGGTACAAGCCAACAAACGTGTTTTTGAAGAACCTCACCTTGTCCATACAACACAAAAACATCAGCGACCTGAAACTACCACCAAAGGTAATGGAGGAGACTCTGAATAAAGTGGCAGATCTGTTGTCAACTTTATCTCCAGCTCAATGGTGCCAGAGTTTCTTCACACTTTCTGCTGCTCTCGTTTTAGCTCTACAGGTTCTCCCTCAAGATGTCCGTAGGGCTATGATGGACTATGGTCCTCGAAGACCTAAAGACGGTAAGTCCAAGAGCAAGAAAGAAGACGATGAGAAGCAAAGCTTCGCAGGCTTGAGATCATTCTTGAAAGACCTAACGGAATATGGACAAGTGCCTCACTCGTGGTTTATGCACTTCTACATCACTTCGGTATCTCTGTCAGGCTTCTGGGCTTGGCAATATTTGACGAGGGGATCGGTGTTGCGGAGTATTGCTACTTGGCAGGACAGGGCTGGCAGATCATCCATGAGCTTAGAGCAAATATATATCGCATGGCTGCTCATGGCGTTGCAGGGTTCAAGGCGGTTATATGAGAGTTTGTTTGTATTCAAACCAGGCTCGTCACCCATGTGGTTCATTCACTGGGCACTTGGTGTTGCTTTCTATGCTGTTATAAGCCTCGCTGTCTGGATCGAGGGTTCCAGTACGCTACAAACCTGCCAAAATTGATCACCGGAGACACTGACAAGTTCATAGGTGCAATTTTGTCATGTTGGGATTCTCCTAACCAGTCCCTTAATATCCCACGGAGGTTGCTATCGGCTGTCCTATTCTATTCCGTTGCATACTTCAAACAAAACCAATGCCACAGACATCTGGCCAGCCTCAAGAAGTACACACTTCCAACAGAAGGGTGGTTCAAATACCTCGTCTGCCCCCACTATACTGCCGAGTGCATTCTGTATCTTGCAATTGCCTGGATCGCCGCGCCTCCAGGCGAGCTATTCAACAAGAGTATCCTGACTGCTGTGGCGTTTGTGGCCGTAAACCTGGGCGCTACGGCAAAGGGCACAAAAACGTGGTATGAGAACAAGTTCGGCTCAGACAAGGTAGCCGATCGATGGATCATGATCCCGCCTGTCTACTAGCTTTCTAGTCACACCTGAATCTTTTATCGCTTGAGGAAAATACCGAGCTTGTTCGCGACTTTTGATACCTGAAGAACATCTCGATAAGTCAGGCTTGTGCGAGTTTGACGAATATTCCGGCCATTGGCGTATACACCGGGAGAACGGAGAAGATCCCAGTTGGCAACAGTTTCGGCACTCAAGTCAACATCCTCTTCGATACCAGCAATCCCATGGAGATAGTCGGTATACAACTCGCCAGTTGTAATGAGTAAACTACGGGGTTCTTGGAGGATTCTCCAAGCAGGTTCGGGATCAAGAGCGCCGTCCTCCTTGCTGCGATGCAGGTTCAGGCATAAGCTAGCTCCAAGGCTGACGGTGGCTACAACTGGCCAGTATGCGGCACCATCCTGTATAATATAAGTACGAAAGAGAAAGAGGGTGTATTACTTGATGAAAACTCAACTTATGTGGCATGATACCAATACCAGGTGGATACTCATTGATGAGAACATGGTTCGGCTTCTTGTGAGGACTTCTTTCGAATATGTTCGCTGGTGAGGAGTCCTGGGATGGCATCGAGAGCAGACGGGATATGACTGGGTCTTGAAGCCACAGAGGGAGGGGAGCTTCAAGGAGTTTGTTGTTGACGAGATCTGAAGGCCAGGTCTGAAGACGCCGTTTTGTAAGCTGTTTCCACCTTGGTTTGGGAGCGCTTGATATCTAGAGATGGTTAAGTCGTGATCGGCCATTGTTTGCATTGCTGAATGCAAACCTTGTCCAGAATGTTCTGCTCTTCTTGTTCAGTTATGAAGTTGGGAATATAGTACGCCGTCTGAGGCAGAGTCTGAATCCTTGCGTGTTCTAGCGAAGGAGGCAATAAGACATCGTCTTTATCCGTGCTTGGGAAGGCAGAGCTTGATGAATCCATCACGATCTTCTTGTCATTACAGCACATAAAAGGTCAAGCGCGATTCTTTGACATTGATGAGCTGTGATTCCACACGTCGAGAGTTTGATGTTGTGCTAGGGCCAAGATCAGCGAGGGAGGGAATTGTTAGTGGTTGAAGTTGCTTCGAGTGTCGTATCCAGGCAGAGACAGTGGGGATCCCGGTACAGCTAAATATGGGGCAAAGGGACTGATGAAACCAAGCCTAGCCTCAGTAAAGTCTCCATAGACGGAACCTTGAATAGGTATCAACAAAATATGGATTGCCTGGAGGTATAGTAACAAGGTAGGTAGCATAAATAAGACACAGGAATCTATACCCCAATCAGTCGATTCCGAGCGAGTAAACTTACGAAGAGGGATTGAACATTATGCACTACTGATTCAGCAAGCTAACGTCAGAAGTCTTTACCGGTACCTATCCGTAAGTCAATCATATCAAGGTGTCATCTTGGAGTTCCTTGCCGCAGGGGGATGGGGATAAGCTAAACTACAACGGGTGTTCACCTTGGGTTCTCCCTGGGGTGCAAGAAAGACTTCTGATAATGAATTGAGGTGCTAAAAATACTTAGTCTAAGATCCTCTATATCTATACTAAATCATACTAAGTTAACCAAAGTTTATCTAAGATTTTTTGTCACCTCAGATAGAAGTCCTAAGGTTTACTGCATCCCCTTGGTTCCTTGCCTTTACGGGTTAGTAGTTAGTGGATGATTTCATTGCATGTAGTACGGAGTAGATGGCACAAGTACGGATACTGTTATGGGTGCCAATGTTCTGACCTTAGTAACTTGAGAGAACAATAGAGTTAGGTACTTCTTGTTGCACTACGCACAGACTCAATATACATGTCACACGGTCCAAAAGAAAAGCGCATCTATTTTCTGTCTTGCTCAAATTAAATAAAGCCAGTCGTTTCTTCTTAGCTGTGCTAGTTCAAATTGCGGCCTGGGTCTCTATGTCTAACCGGATGAGACTAAAAGACAGTACGAAGTGAGACTCAGCCAATCATGTTTCATCTTCGAGACCAGGAGCCTTGCTCGGGCATTTGCTTTGGAGTTTCCAAATCCAATTCTTCCACTCTTCTCTTCCACTTCGCACTCATCCTCCCGCCTCGTTTCAATCTCAATTTGGGTAAAAGGCCCGCCCAAAGACGCCGTGGACCATCATCATTCTCCCAAAACCACCATTATTACACTGTAATTATCCCCATAACTAGACAGGCTTTCTGGTCAGACTCAGCCCAGGCTAGATGCCTACAATTCATTATCGATCTCCCCTTCTAAATCGACGGATACCGAACTCAACTTCTATTGGACTTAAACTCAACCGGGCTTAATCTAACCAACCTGAGCTGAGCCTCCACTCCCAATCCCAATTCTATCTCCAATCCGAAACCAACCACTCACTCACTCACTCGCTCGCTCGCTCTCTCTCTTCTTCAACTTTACTCACCTACCATATTCTATTGCTAAACGCCTCCGACCGCCCGATTTCTATATACTCCAAATCGCTCCTGACGAATCAGTCCTTCGCCTTTTCGCGTAGCCTTGTTTTTATTTTACTTTATTTTTTGCCCCCATATCGCCCCTGCTGATTGACTGCGCTCTTATTCGCCTCTTTGGTTCTTGTCTTTCTCGCGCCCGACCGTTGCTTTTCCACTTGGCTAAGTTCATAGGCATCAACGCCAGCGCGAGTTCATCGCCCCGTCAACTTCTGCCTTTACCATCATCACCAGAATGGTGGTAGTCGCTAGTCGTCCTCGCAGGTAAATGTCATGGATGCGCAGAATGCTGCCCAGTCCGACCAGACGAGGCCTGCTGGCGACACACCTCAGCGGCCTGACTCGAAACCCGACACTTCAAAGTCGACTCCGTCGCCAGTAAGCCCCAAGCCTTCTGAGCCCGTTGACAAGGAGAAAGAAAAGGACAAGGATAAAGACACACGACGAAATGCGAATTCTTCATCTGCTGTCGACCAAGATGCGTTGGAAGACCGCGATTCAGACGCCGAAACCATCGTATTGCCTGGCAAGGATGGCCATTCCCCTTCAAAGGCTCGGAAGGTAAGACAGGAGGACAGAAGCGACGGTGATCCCCATGGTGATAACGATGGCGACGCGCCCAAATCTTCAATCAAGGCTGCTGGTTATCGTCCAGAGCTTGAAAAGAGTTCATCATCAATCCACGCTCGCGGTGACCCTGTCAAGAAGAAGCGCATTTCGTCGGCCCACATTGAACGCGAGAAGCTGCCACGGGGTAAAGATGCGGCTGCCTCCAGTGGCTTGAGCTCTGCACCAGCGTCTCCACCTCATCACCGGCAGCAGCAGCGTCGCCGATTTGCGGATGACACGCATTCGTCTTCCGACACTGAACATTCTCATCCCCGACCCGCCAAGTCCATTCGCGAGAAATTGAAATCGGGTGAGAATACGGTATCACACAAGCGCAAGAGTCTCAAAGTCGAGTCCGACGATGAAGGCGAGAGCCGCAAAGTCAGGCGGCAACGAACGACCAGCGCTAGCATCGATTCAGGTCGCCCGCAGAAGGAGCACAAGCCTCTCTCAGCAAAGTCACACCATGATTCACAGAACCGATCCATCTCACCACAGCCTCGATCTCACCGAAGGAGTGCATCCTCCCAGTTACCTGCCTACTCCTCCAACGGCCTCGGCCACAAGAAGAGGCGGCTGCCTCCTCCGTTGCACGCCACTGACTATCACTCTGACGACTCATCAGCAAGTGGTAGTCCTCATCCTCGCAGTTCTAAACTACGTAACCTGGCAACGCCTGCCGCCGACACAAATGCCTCCCCTGCAAGGATGGCTCCTCATAAGAAGCATCTCGATGCCCACGGTCAGACATTACTCGCTCGAGCCTGTGCTCGAGGAGAGTACGAAGGGGCCAAGACACGTCTTACCGAGAGACCTGAGGACCTGAACGTGGCCGACTACGCGGGAAACACACCTCTTCAGATTGCAGCAATTAATGGATGCGAAGACATCGTCAAACTTCTGATCGACGCTGGATGCAATTTGGATTGTGTCAATTACGACAAGGACACACCACTTCTCGATGCGGTCGACAACGGCCATCTGGGCGTTGTCAAGTTGTTACTAGACGCAGGCGTCAACCCCAGAAAGGCCAACGTGAACGGGGAAGAGCCAATCGATCGGGTGAGCGACGAAACAGATAACGCCGAGGAGATTCGAGCCGCACTCATGGCTGCAAGGAAGCGAGCAGGAGACCGGAGGCGCACCTCAGAAGAGCATCACTCCCACCAAGATCAAGATACGAGGGACTCGCATGCGCCAGATAGCCCGCGCCGTTCCCCCGCCACAAATTCCGGAACAAGTCGAAGAGCAGCAACTGTGCGGGCAACAAAGACGAGAAACGATCTATTGTATATGCCCCTCGATGATAAGACACTTCGACAGGCTGCGGGGCGAGGGGATGAGGAAACTGTCGCACGCATCTTGCAGGTCAAGGAAGGGTATAATGACCCTGCTGCCATGGTTGCCGCGGCTCGAGGTGGCCATGACTTGGTGATTCAGCTGCTCCTAGGCCTTGGAGGCGCTAATCCTGATCCTCGGCCGATTCATAACGCTCAGCCCGAATTCGCGACGCCTATACTAGCAGCAATCGGGCAAGAGAATATCAAAGTCATAGAGTTACTTTTGGAACAAGCTGGATTCGATCCCACACGAAGGTACAGAGGAGAAACATACTACGAGATTGCCCGACACCGGGCAGGTCCAAACTGGAAGGACGAAGAGCATATGCTGAAGAACGCATACGATGAATTTAAGAGGAGCGGAAAGAAGACAAATTCTCGCCAGGAACAACAAGATGAAGCTTTGCGTGCCCGACGAGCAAAGGAGGAGGCCCGACAACATAAAAGGAGCCTCTCTAGTCCCGAGCCAAAGAAGAAGTCGACCACCGCCAAGCTTACCAGCCCCAAAGAAAAACGAAGGTCCAATTCGGTTACAAACCAGGGAGACGAGAGTTCAAAGCGTGGCCCAGGACGACCCCGTAAAGATGAGCCCGTCCCGTCTGTTAATATCTCAGACCGCGAACAATCCCCAACTATCTCTCAGAAACAGCTTAAAGTTAAACATGCCGATTCAGATGCTGCCGGTGTATCGTCGGACGGGGAAACACATAAGCCGAGGAGGAAGCTTGTGTCCAAGGGGGAGCTTCGAGGGGAACGAGAGCGGCAACGACGCGCCAGTATGGCTTCGAACGCTTCATCTTTCAAAGATCACCCAAGTAGCCCCCATGAGTCGAGGCACGAGGAGTCAGGTGACAAACACGATAAGCACGAAAAGAACAGAGTCGAGAAACTATCCGAAAAGTACCATGATCGTACCAAGGCTCTCAAAAGAGACGAATCCCGGGATCGCTTGTCGGTGTCTGGCGATGGGTCGACTAAGAGACATCGTGCCAGCATCACACCTGACCGACCCAGTAATGGCGACAAGGATGATAGCGAGGTTCCACCCAAACGACGACGACTTGATAGTGAGACAAGGGATAAAAGGCCTAAACAAGCTTTGTCATCTGATGAGAGACCTCGAAAATCCAGCAATCTTCATGACTCTTCCAAATCATCCTCAAAACCCAGTCATAAAAAGCACGACGAGGAGAAGCGCGAAAAGCGTGCAGACACCGACCGAGCCAGTAGTGTCGAAAAACAGATTCATGTCAAGTCAGAGGAGACTGACGTGGAGATGAAAGACGCTGATTCTATCAAGGCCGTGTCCGAGTCGGAACTGCAAGCGGCTCGAGCTAAGGAAGCCGAACAAGAGAAGCAAAGGCAAGCCGACGAGGAAGCCAAGAAGAAGGACGAGCTTCGGAAGAAGCATGAAGCACGCAAGAAAGAAGAAGAACGCAAGCGAGTTGAAGCTGAAGCCGCGAGGAAGCGTGAAGAGGAAGAGGACAGGAAGCGAGAAGAGGAAGAGGACAGGAAGCGAAAGGAGGAGGCTGCCGAAGAGGAGAGACTGCAAAAGGAACTAGAGGAGCGTGAAGCCGAGCGCAAACGCAAGGAAGAAGAAGAAGAACGCCAGCGACGAGAGGAGGAGGAGAAGAAGCAACGGCGTGAAGCCGAGGAGAAGGCGCGTCGAGAAGAGGCAGAAAAGCAACGTATCGAACAAGAGCGAAAGAAGAAGGAGGAGGAGGAGCAGAAACAGCGAGAGGAGGAGGAGAGGCTGCACCGTGAGCAACTCGAACGAGAAGCGGCCGAGGAAGCTCGCCGTCAACGCGAGGAAGAGGAACGCAAAGAACGTGAGCGACGAGAACGTGCGCATCGTGAAGATATGGAACGCAAACGAGCGGCACGCGAAGCTGAACAGCGACGATTCCGTGAGGAGCAGGAACGCATCCGCCTCGACAAACTGCCTCCCCTCCTACGGTGGCTCGACACATGTTCAAACCCCAAGCTTCCGGTCCTTGCCGAGAAATTCAAGCGGATTCAAGGCTGCCGATACGACACGATTCGACACGGAGCTAACGGCACAGTCGAAGGTCGTGAGCAGTGGGTACTTAACACACATGCAGCTCTCCTTCTTGGCGAGAAGGATCTTGACCTTTCTCGGTGTAAGTTCATTTATCAGTTTTGTTGAGGTAGCCACTGATTATTTTCCTAGATACTGCATGGGAACGGGCTCCTGTAACCGACCTAGCAAAGTTGTCATTGTGGCGTGTTGAATGGCGTCTTTACTCTCTTCTCGATGACAAGCTGTGGGATCTCGGTCGACAACTCCCCGAGTATTACGGTGATGAGGATCCCTCCGAATTCAGTTATGGGACAAAACAACGACTAAAAGCAGAGGCTTGGGAGAAATTTCTCAACATGGACATGTTCTTTGTTAAGGTGACTACCAGCCACTCAAATATACGAAAATGCGAAAAGCTAACATGACACAGGTGTCGGATCTTATGTATACTGTCCCTAACATACCACATCTTCGTCATATTCGTCTCGAAGTTGAATACCGGGAACTTCTGGAGACAGAAGCACAAAGCAGGGGATGGGGAACATGTCAGAAGTGGAAGCAGGATCCGGATTCTGCTCGGTACAACAGACTTGCTCCACGATGCAAGTATTATCACAATGGCGCTTTCGTTGGCGAGGATAAACCCCAACTCGCACAAACAAGCAGTACACCTTTCCTCGACAAGAGAGTTCCTCGACGCGGACTGGTGCAAGTGTTGCCAGACGACCCAGATTATCCTAGAATATGCCTAGAACAAGGTCTAGAGCATCTCATCAACGGCCACGCTAGCCCGCCTCTCGTTAATGGCATTCATTCATCACCAATGAGCCAGAAATCAATGGCATCGGGAGGACCTCCTATGAATGGGATGATCAAAGCTTTGACGCCTGGGTCGACTTCAGAAAGCTTGACCATATCGAATGCTGGGCACGAGACTCTTGTAAACGGCATCAACGGGAACACAAACGGAAACTCAGCCCACTGACAGTTAATGTCTCCAACAAGCAGCTGAACATACTTTGTTACATTATTGCGCCGAGTTTTCTTTGTTAGCATAATGATCATGGGTGGCGCAGATACAGTGCAGGGCTATGGTATGGATTATTACTTTTCACAATAACTGCGGATGGTTGCTAGATGGTAAAGGTTTCCTCATGAGCATTGGATCGGAATATTATACAGGCCTATTGCGCGAAGAGTTGGCCAGCGGTCGGTTGGATGATTGTCCTTGAAAGATTAGCAAATGACGTTGGGAGGTGTGCAAGGTGTATTGCATTGTTGCTGTTATGAATGAAGCATGACTGATATCTTTATAGAGAAGCAAGGGGAGGGATGCTCGGGGTAAAGTCTTGTCTTGTCTTGTCCTGTTGGCAGACAGACTCTGGTCACTGCATCTGACAGGCTGTACGCAACAATTAACGAAACATTTTAAAAACACCAAAAACCATCTTTTTGTGAGAATAACCGATTGACACGGGATTGACCTGAGCGTTCAACGTAAATGGTGGAGACAAACTGGTAGTAAATCAATTATCTGATTGGCTGTAAGAGAGCCAAACTGGCTGACGTAGGTGTGGAGCAGGTTTTTCTGTCGTGCCCCGCCATTTTCAACTTTCTTTGCAATTTATCACCAAAAGTGCTTTTACACCACGAATTGGGCCACGAACCCAAGATCTGAGGCCAGACAACAACCGAACATCGACTCAAGACAGCTTCTCCAACCGAAGCCGCAACCGTAATCATGGCGACTACCGTGGACAAGGTATGTAGCTTTCCCTCCAAAAAGACCATTTCTGCCACGGTTTGGCTAACCCCGGTTCCCCTAACAGATCAAAGATATTGAGGCCGAAGTACGTGATATTCCAATCGAACCTCTCCCTAAATGATGCTATCGGAGAAGACTATTGTCGGAACCCCACGATAGGGACTCTTTATCGTATAGATAGCCGGGATCAGCTCTGACATGTGTAACCAGATGGCCAAAACCCAGAAGAACAAGGCGACTTCGTACCATTTGGGTCAGCTTAAGGCCAAGCTGGCCAAGCTGAAGCGCGAACTGTTGACTCCCAGTGGCGGAGGTGGTGGTGGAGGTGCTGGTTTCGATGTGGCCAGAACAGGCGTAGCCAGTATTGGCTTCATCGGCTTCCCTTCGGTGGGCAAGAGTACGCTCATGAGCAGACTCACAGGCCAACACTCGGAGGCTGCCGCTTACGAATTCACCACATTGACCTCTGTGCCTGGTCAAGTTGTCTATAACGGTTAGTCGTCTGTGATATCCCTCACCCCTCGCCTTCTCTATCTCCACCTCCACTTCGATCAACGGATGCGGTGCGGCGCGGCTATTTTCTTGTCCTCGGCTTGATGCCCAATCTCCAGTTCCTCCATCACCACCACCACCACCACCACCACCATCATCATCAGAAGGCGGCTCCTTTGTGTGTCAAACATTGTGGCTGACATGGATTTCTCCAGGTGCCCCCTTGCAGATTATTGACCTTCCCGGTATCATTGAGGGTGCCAAGGATGGTCGAGGTCGAGGTCGACAAGTCATCGCCGTCGCTAAGACATGCCATCTGATCTTCATTGTGCTGGATGTCAATAAGCCTCTGACGGATAAGCGGGTGATTGAGGCGGAACTCGAGGGTTTCGGGATCCGCATCAATAAGGAACCCCCCAACATCACCTTCAGGAAGAAGGACAAGGGTGGCCTCAATATCACCAGCACCGTGCCCCTGACGCATATCGACCACGGCGAGATTAAGGCTGTCATGAGCGAATATCGCATCAATTCTGCGGACATTACAATCCGGTGTGACGCTACCGTTGATGACCTGATCGACGTTCTTGAGGCAAAGAGCAGAAGGTAAGGCTGAAGCATAGAAGTGTGGCAAACACAGCTGCTTTCAAAGTCGAGATAAGTTTAGTTTGCTAACGATCGGTGCAACTCGTCAGTTATATTCCAGTTGTCTACTGTCTGAACAAGATTGATTCCATCAGCATTGAGGAGCTTGACCTTCTCTATCGAATTCCTAATGCTGTCCCCATCAGTTCCGAGCATGGATGGAACATTGATGAGCTGATGGAGGCCATGTGGGACAAGCTAAACCTTGTCCGTGTGTACACAAAGCCCAAGGGGAAGCAGCCTGATTACTCTCAGCCTGTCGTGCTCCGATCTACGCGCTGCACTGTTGAAGATTTTGTAAGTCAGATCAGTTCCATGTGGCGGGCGCCCTTTTGGCCGTCCCCTGCGAAGCCTCATGTCCAAAATCCAAATTAGGAATCTCGGATTGCTAATCGAGCTACCAAATAGTGTAACGCCATTCACCGAAGCATTACGGAAGTGTTCAAGACGGCCATCGTTTATGGCAAGTCAGTCAAGCATCAGCCTCAACGCGTTGGCCTGGCTCACGAACTGTGTGATGAGGATGTTGGTAGGTTACCCCCGGAGTCTCCGACAGCGACCCTCGGCCCTGGCAGCAGCCTAAACACAGATTGAGAATGGGGGAGACGAGTACTTAGTTAGGCCGCAGTGAGCTTGATCTACCCGATGCAGTCGGGATCTTGCTTCGTTGATGAGCCAGGGCGCCCATGATCCCAGTCTCAGTCTGATCCGTTGCATCAAGGCAGCTAGGGTTGTATTGTACCAAGCTCATAGCAACGCTAACCATTGTAACAGTAACCATTGTCAAACGATGAAGAGAAACCTTGGAGAGATTGAAGGGGATGATCCCGCGGCAACGCCAGAGGCTTGGTGAGCGAGCGAGACATTGCCAGATAGCTTGGACCGCCGCTTCGCATCAGATTGTTACTGCAGCCATGCTAGCAAGCCACCAGTTTGCAACTCTGATTTAGCTCCGAGTGGCTGACGGAGAGAGAGGAGGAATCTTCACAGACCAGGGGAGCCCTGAGTGGGATGGATGGGATGCTGATTACTACTACGACAACAATAACAGCAGCAGCAGCAGCAGCAGCACAAATGTTCAATATGAACAGGGCTGACAATGGATGCACGGCTACGAGCACGTCTGGTTGACAAGAAGTATCGACTTGGCTCGACCAGGCACGATAATGATCGGCACAATAGTTTCCGGGGGAAGTCAGAAGTGGCGTGCACACTTACAGGGTAAGCTGATGGGTCTAGAGCAGGGGAGAGAGAAATTTGGGTGAGCGGCAAACGACGATGAACAAGGAAGGGCGAGATTTAAGATGAAGATGGAGAGCAACACGGAACGGAGTAACTACGGACGTGGATTTTATACGAAAGCCTATGTCCGGGTTAGTTTTCCGGGATGAAAGAAAAAGCAACGTTGGGTATCACGCAACCACAAGTAAGCCCGGCAGTTGCTACTGCTGGCTGTTCAGTACATAAGGAATTACAATCGGGTTGCTCGAAAGATGAAACAAAATGAATGATTCTCGATGATAAAAGTCCAGTCAGTCATCATCAATTGATGGCAGGTTACAATATCTTGGCGCGTTGCCATTCATCCAGGCGGCTGAAATGCACAAAGGCTTGACCGAGCGGAGATATTTCCAAGAACAAACCCGAGCAAGGTTTATGATACCGATTGTCGTAACATGAGAGAGCTGACAGATAATAAATAAGCACTGCTCCTGGGGGCGAGACCCAGCCGAATTGGAAGCTATTGCTACAGCAGCAACAGGACAATTGACGGGTATAATCGCGGTAACGGTGACATTCGAATGGACAAAACGCCACCATCTGATGTCAACGAGCAGAAGCAGAGCGGGAATGGGATGCAGTTGGGAGTGGTTCGACCTGCATAGCCGAGGGCCTCTTGATCTGCGACCGGATTGCCCAGCAGAAGCGTGGGATATGCAGCTGCAGCTGCAGCTATAGATGCAGACGCAGACGCAGGGGTTTGAGGCCTACGAATCAGGTTATGCGTAGATTCTTTCACGGCGCTTAAAGTCGAGACAGAGAGAAAAAGAGCGGTTGACTTTTAGGGCATTTCTTAGGAGATTGTTCGTCTTTATCGAGACAAGTGAAACCGACCATCAGTTGCCAAGGCGATTAGCTGTACCTGAACCAGCCAAGGTAAAGTAAGTAGGTAGGTAGGTACCTGGTATCTACTAAGGGTGCTTACAGAATGATGTTGACTGTGGAGAGAGAGAGAGAGAGAGAGAGAGAGGAGGTATGGAGTAGCATCAGAGGGATAGGTACCAAGGTAATTCATGTACTGTACACCTACACCTACCTACAGTAGAGCATCAAACATGCGCTCCGTTCCGTCCACACCCTAGCTAGCTTACTTCGTACTGATTAAGGGAACTTAGTTCTGCACCCGACCCTTAGCCTTTCTTGATGGCGGCGGTAAGAGACGATTCGTGAAAGGTGGAGAGCTCAAGCCTCTTTGGCGAGAAAAACGTCCCGAAGCCTACACCAGACTTAAACAGGGTTAGCGGGTGAGCAAAGGGCCAGGGGGAGTTGAGCAGTAAACCAACAGTCGACAGTCTCTTCTTGCTAGGTCATCTCCACAATAAACTAAGGCACCTAGGTTCTTAAGGTTGGTGATGAGGTACCTAAGGTAGTGCACTAGAAAAGTCACATCCATCACCACATCACACCAGCAACAGGTAGAGTGGCTGCAGAACAGGGGAAGTCATTCGTCTTTGAACCTTTTCTTCTTCTTTTCATTCAATAGCTAAAATATAACGAGATACAAGCTTTGTGAGCCATGTTTTCCCCGCAAGTGCCTGTGTCATTCAAATTTCATTCAATAAAATATGGAGTGTGGTCTGCCTTAGTAGATAAGTACTAAGGTAGGTATGCTGAATGTGTACAGCCTACTGCGGATATGAGATAAGGTTGAATCCGCTATAAAAGCACAACATTAAGTCTAATAGTTACCTGCGGCATCAACATATGTGAAAGGATTATGAGCATCATCATGTGAAGAACAACTGCAGCGTTGATGAGATCTAAATCTAAACACAAGGGGTAGATGGGATGGCGCCTAGGAAGAGTCCATTCATCCTCAACCTACAACAACAAGGAACACCCCTGAGAGAGCATCAATTGATTGATTGACTGAATAAACGACCCCTGACAGCGCCTGACTAGCAAATATTTGACCAAACACTATGCGAGGCACACGATTAATATCGATATCAAAGCAGAGAATCGCAGAGCGATTGGTTGGTTTCGGCCACTCATACGCGAGTTTCTACACCGGGCGGATGACATTGGATGCTAAGTTAGCGCACCGGCATGATACTTCTGTCATGAGATGAGACGATATGAGACTGCGTGAGTAGGTATACATCGTACCTAGGTAGGTAGTAGATCTCTCCCGAGCGGCCGCGATCCTTTCTCGTCATCGTCTTCCCACTTGGAAGGCCTCGTTTTTTTCTCTGTGTGTTTTGTCTGCTTACGGTCAAGCTTAGCTGCTTCATACAGGGGCACCCGGAGCTCAGAATTTCCAGGTGAGTCCAGATCGATGTGGGCATATGAGGTAGGTACCTAGGCAGGTCGTACTTGCCTTGATTATCTATTCAGATACCTTTGCAAGAGCTGTCGTCGCGAGCTACCTTACCTTAGAGGTACCTTACTTCAATTTCTCATCAAACTTCAAACTCGATACCTACCTAGGTATCTCGAGGCAATATACTTGCCTACCTAGGTAGGTACCTTACCTAAGGTAAGGTAGGTACGTTAAATACATATTGAGCTGGGCTAGAAGTAGCCTCAGGACATCAGATGCATCCTCCTTCCTTTCTGTCTAGTTGCATCATCGACTCACTGTTGTCTTCTATCATCTCTGTCAAAGTCAACCGCAAAGCAAACATATGCTAGACACCATCAGATTCATTCGGCCTACCTACTTATGTACTAAAGCCCGGCGCCAGGGATCTTGATCAAACTGACCAACTGGAACAACACCCGGAAGACGGATTGGACCGTCTATGGCGCGCCACAGCTTTTCTCCCCCTCCTTCACTACTGTACCTCTGCATCTTCTTCTGCCCGCTCATCATCCATGCATTCATCTGTCGCATCGCATCGCATCGCAGCCCTGATCAGGATTAATAACCAGGGACAAACAAACGTTGATACAGTAGAACAGGTATGGACACCTTTGCTGCCCAATGACAAAATATCTGGAGCAAGCTTATAATGGTGACCGCATCTGCATGTCCATTGATTGAACCCTCCGGAGATTGCGCTAACCGTCCCCATCAGGATCCAGCCAAGATGTTGATCCCTCATCCCGACTCTGTTGCTTGGATACGAAAGTTGGAGAAATGAGAATGCTACTCGAGCAATCACCATCCCTCTCACAACTTACCATCACTCGCTCAGAAAAGCAGGACCACGACAAAAGACCGTAACGTGGACAAGGGACGTACTCCAGCGCCATGGATGCCAGACATGGATGCTGATGGGATGGACTAGGGGCGCAATGGTAACTGGCCATGCCATGGGCGGCAGGCGGCGGCTGTCAAACTGGCTCCAGAAAGGGCCGTCCCACTAGCCTGCCTGTGTCCTTGACCTGACCTGACCTGACCTGTCCTGTCCATGCCTAGTGCCTGGCAAGCCCCAGTTCGACCTTGCTCAGAGTAGCGGTCGATCTTCGTCTTCCATCCACAGTGAAGCCATGGCAAAGCAACACGACGCATCAAAATGCTACTGGGCACCTTACCAGGGCACCTTCAGTCCATCTATGTATGCCCTTCAAGATACAGGATAGGATGGCATGGCTGGAAATGTGTGACCCACCGACATTCCAGTTGCGGCATCCCGAGCACAATGCCATCATGGTGCCGAGTAAGGTGTGAGAGAGGAAGGGGGTTTGATATTGGTGGTAGAGGTAGTCTTCATTCGACATGGTTGCTCGTCCGCATAAAGCGAGCAAGACACACGAAACTATCAGTGATATGAACTAAACTACAATCGATAAGATCAAACAGAAAGGAGCATCGTGAACTGGATTCACAGTCAACATAGCAACTGGTCAGGATGAAGTCAACATGCATCTGACATCTTTTTGTCGGCTCCATCACACACCTGATACGTCAAGATGGGAAAGAAAGAAAGAAAAATTCAACGTCAGGTGGACCACGTGCGCCGATTTGTTACAGTGAGATAGCCAGTACTAATTCTCGCTTGTTCCTCCTGGTTTGGACTGGGCTTGCAAGTTTACATTGTGCCGTACCTCCACGGCCACGATATTTGTCTGCACTAGACCTTGACCCATAAGCCATGCCGCCCAATGGCTTCGGCCTAGGGGCTTGGAGGAGCGAGCAGATGGAAAAGACCGGGGTGCTTGAATGAAGCTTCGGGCCCATGTCTCTCGTCGTTAGCGATGAGGACCCTTAACATCCTGAGGCACTTGCTTTATTACACAAGTTATGGCTGTGCCATCCTGGGACCACGAGGCAAGCAAGCAAGCAAGGCGAGGCGAGGAGACGCGAGAGGCAAGGGAGAAAGTCATGGGCTAGGGCATGAAATGAGGAACAAGGCTGAGCGAATCAAACAACCAAAGCCTTGTTCATCAGTCCCCTCCCTTCTCACTCACCCTCTCCGCCCCGTTTTCCCTTTGAGACAGTCTGAGCTCCCGGATCTCGCTTTCCGGTCGGGCTTTGACCTTGAAGTGCTCCGTGTATCAGAGCTATGTGCTCGGGAAGGCAAGGAGAGTGTGCATCAGTCTATCAGAGAGAAAGAGATGAGGCCGCGGGCTGATCCGCTCGAGGCTGAAGCTGAACGATTCTTGTGTTTCGGGCTAATAAGCTGAGTTGGTATCCTCGCTGTCACCCATGCCTCGGTGTCATTTTCACTTTTCATCGATGGAGCAGACCCCAAAGTTAATGTCAACCCGCTCGTGGTCAGCGATAATCATCCTTGGTCATTGGAATTTCCTTTACATCAAGCACATGGGTCATCGTATACCCCTGCTCTCGAGCGGCCGGGCATGCCGCTGCAATTCTTTTGCTGCATGCTCTGTATCTAATCCGTGTCCCGTCAGTCGATCTTACTTTGTGGCATTTCGATTCCTTGTTACCGCTGTCCCGTCCGGGACTGAATATTATACTAGAACCGGCATGTTAATATTACGATTCAGAGCTTAGGCTCCCAAGCCTGGACTGACCAGGTTTCGTCTGGGGGGATCTGTTCTAACAGGTGACCAACTGTCGAAGTGGACTCCGTTCGGGAGAAAGGTCTGACCTATTACAACTCTCTCTCACCTTCTCCAGTTTAAACCGAGCCTAGTTAGCCACTTCCCATCGAAGTGCATGGATTTTGGCGCGCCGCGCTTTCTAGATTAGACAGAGATGCCCTATGAAAGCTGCAAGTCGATGGTTTTCAGATGGACTATCTCTCTAGCTCGGGCGCGACATTTTCTTCCTTCTCCTCTATACAGTACCCGGCAGTGGACACTGATACGGGACGCCCCATCTTCTGACCTCATCCTCACGGGCTCTGAGCCCTCCCATTGCTCAACCTTCATGAGGGCAGGACCAATCTTCTACTACGCAACATAGCAGGAGCGGGATAAGAGGGTGAAATGGGCTGACAGGTCTGAAAACATAACCAACCCTTCCGGAAAGGTAAAAATCTACAGTCAAGGGAGGGGGATACGAGGAAACCCTATTACCTTCAGAGGAACGGCATGACCAGAGAGGACTTCCCTGGTCTTATCCCACGGCCCATTATGCTTTACTCGTTGCTTCTTCCGCTTCCCGTTCCGTTGATCAGAAGCTTGTGTCTATGGGAATTGGTTTGATTGAAAACCCTTTCCTTAGACAGTCTTCACCTATCAGATGGCTGCGGGCCAGGGATTTTGTGCCTACCCACGTACGTCTTCTTTCAACTGCTGACGATTCTCTTGCTTTTCCCGACCTGGCGATGACCTGGCCAGGATCAACAACAAGAAGAAGAGTCGGCTGAGAGCTCCATAGTACTATACCCTAGCTCACCGGTCTATCCCCGAATCCGAAAGCGTCCATCCCATTACCTCGAAGGTCTGTTTTTTTGCGATTTCAGATTCTGAATAATTTGCTGCGCTTGTTGGCGGGTGACTATGTGTCTGTGTGTGAGCCTGTCTTGCCTACACGCGTGAAGTCTCCCGCTGAGCGTTCAACGTCCTGTCATACACGGTTTGAGCCATTCTCCTTCTTTATCAGCTTCATCCACACCTAAATGCACATGTACTGTACACACACTTAGACGGCGTCTTCAGAATTCATCGGTTGTCTACTCTGTACATGCAGCTTCCTGGCTTTTACCCACTACCCTCCCACACGCACCACTCCTTGATCGCTCGCAGTCACAGGAGACACCCCTCCCCCCTTGTGAGGGAAACCCCCCACACCCTCGTCGGTATTCTTCGTGCGTTCTGCATATGTATATGGAGAAGCTCGACCTCTGGGGTCTCATCTTTACATATGTAGCGGTGCGAATGGCTTTAGGTCTCGCTTGTTTGCACTACGCTATACTGCACTACACATCTTGAAAACGATATACTCCTAACGGCCTGGCCTCGTGTTGGAACGTCCGCCTCAAGTTTTGCGGTCCACCATCAAAACTCTGTCTTGAGATTGCCGTCCGGATCGAGCTACTGGCGGTCCTTTCTAGGCATCGTTACGGCTCGCTGCCCTGTGGCTTTCTCATCCGCCGGCCCACCCTCCACCGACTCAATCCGTCCTTGTCTTGCCTTTGTACATTGCCCTGCCGCGTTTATCCTGAGTCGGTTCTACTGTCTCCGCAATCTCCACGAGCTCAACGAGGAAAAAGCAAGTAAAAGAAACTTCCCGCCGTGTCTCACTTTGGTGTACTTGTGTGTTGGAAGACAAGCCGTTTCCTGTCGGAGAAAAAGACGGCTCACAAACAAGCAACCGGCTCGAAGTTCAGAAGTTGAGGTCAACTTTCTGCGACCTGACGAGTTCCTAACTCCACTACACCGCCGTTAAGGCTGAACCTGCTGCGGGTTTGAGTGCTTGCGTTGTTCGTGTGCTTCGTTGGGCTACGCAAAAGGTTTGCTGCAATATAATCAACTCTTGTCTAACACGGAACAAATTGCCCTGAGCTGGAACTGGAGGGATCGACGGTAAACGTGGATTCAATTCACTTTTGCACTTTTAGGAACCAATTCGGGCAAGACGATGCATCTCTTCATCGACTGGTGTCAAATGTGAGCAACATCACACCAAGTCTTTTTGTTCCCTCCAACACAGCTCCCAGCTCCCAGCTCCAAGCTCCCAGCTTCCAGGAACTCGGCACCAATCGTTTCGCCCCTTGTTCACTGAAAATTCTCGCAGACGAGACTGTTGGATCTATCAGTATATTAAACGGCTTCAAAGCCTCCTTTTTCCTTATCCGGTGCCAGCTAGGCAGCACATACAACAATGAACAACCCCAATGGGACAACTGCAATGGGACATGATAGCACCATGGCCCAGAGTAATGGATATGGGAGCGATGCCTGGACAAGCATGAGCCCTTACAGTCAAAGCCCATATAGCGCAAGCCCCTTGACTGAATATCCATCCTTTGGCGCCTTTGTCAGTCATGGACTGCCCTCGGAATCAATAAATCGAATGCCTCCTCCTCCACCGCAAACACATCAGATGATACAGCCATCCCCAACTCCTATGGCTCACCATCAACTGCCACTTTTGAATACAACTTGGCCGAGCCAACTGACAAACCCTGCTCCGCCACAGAGTTACTCAGCACCACCCTTATCAATGACACCTGCTACCAGCGCACCGCCTGTGGAGCCCCCTAGGTTACCGACACAGCACGAGAAATCGAGGAAGACTCTTACCACGGAACAGAAACGAGCCATGTGCCAATTCCATGAAGATAACCCTGGTACCCGACAAGCCGATATTGGAGCCCGATTCGGCGTTGAAAGAAGGTAGGCATTTTTGGATCCAAAGTTACAATTCGCCATGGAGAATCTGACAAACTTGACAACAGCACCGTTTCCAAGGTTTTGAGGCATAAAGATCAGTATCTAAAGCGAGACCAAGAGCCAGAAAATGCCGCTGTCAAGCGTGGCAAGGGCAAGCATCCAGATTTCGACCGGACACTCAGCAACTACGTCAGGAGGCAGCAACAGCGAGGGTTCCAAGTCAGCGACGAGGAGATTATGGAACAGGCGAGGCTTTTTGCTCATGCGAGTGGAAACCAGGAGAGTGTCTTGAATAATTTGAATAGCAGCTGGCTGCAAAAGTTTAAACAAAAGCATGGAATTGGACCAGGCAAGCTCATGAGGCGGGCTTCAGAGGCAAACATTCCGGATAGTGCAAGACTCTCGACACTTACCTCGAAGTCCAGCGATCTATCGCCTTCGCCAACGGGCCAGCTTTCACCGCTTTCAGGCAGTCGGAGTGATGAGGAGGCACACGTTGATGGAATAGACTTCGACTTCGGGTATAAGCATCCCGAGTCCCAGTCAACAACCTCACTTTCGAGCGACTTTCGAGATAACACAGCCTCTTCATTCTCAGCTGGAACCATGAGCCCGACTGGAACTTTTACTTTCTCCCCTGACCCCAATGTGGGAGGATTCCCCATGGATCAACTTCGAGGTACCGATTACCAGCACAGAGAGAAAAGAAGCAACACATTCCCGTCACTCAACATTGACTACGTGAATCAAGTCTCATCGTCAACGGAACCAATAACTCCCCGTCACCCTCCATCTTCAACCGCGCCGTCTTCGGCTTTAGAATCGCCGCAGCATGAACTTCAGGCGCCGTTTAGTATCGATACAAACGTCAACTCACCCCCTCCAATGCTACGCCGCAGTAGCAGCAACTCAAGTATAAATCGATCCACAGCAGCGACAAGTGCTACTTCATCCACACCTCTCGATTCATCTCCAGTCTCGCCCTCCCAGGAGGACGCCCGCCGGGCCGCACAGACACTCCTGAACTACATACAAACTGCTGGCACTTTCGACTCTAACGATTATATGTCAATCGTTCAGCTGACCAAAAAGCTCAAGATCCACCAAGGTAGACCGTCGATAGGAGGACTCTCTCGAATCCCGGAAGGTGATGTTGAAGCCCCTGTCCTACTATCGACCAAGATGGAATCGGCTTGAAGTCGGGCCATGCTCATAGCATTGGCTGTGTGTTTCTTTTTCGTACCTATGTCTTATCAATCAAGTCTCTTTTCAAATGGGATTTCCCTGAGGGCATAAGGGTGCTTAGAATATCGTGGTTGGGGCCATTTTGGGTCACCGCCCTGCTCACGCGGGTAACGGACTATAAGAGCATTCAAAACGATGGCACTGGCCACGATTTGAACTGTTTGTTGAGTCTGTTTTGCATTTTCAACCGCACTTTGGCCGACTATTCTTTTCTTTATTAAAAAAAAAACCCCCCCATCAAAATAACAAACAACCCAGGTGAACGGGAGCGAACTTTTTCTTATACCTTATACCACCCTTGGAAAGTTTATTCTACCGCTCGCGCGAGCCCGAAGAACCATATACAAACAGTCGTCCACACGAAGTTACAATTGAAAATTGCTCGTTTCGGAAACGAGGTGCGAAGGGAGAGACAAATGATCAGAAAGAGGTGGGAATGATGGGGTCAAGGTCAACATGGTAGCATGAAAGGGGTACGATCTCGGCAACAACAGTTTAAGGGGAAACGCAACATGATGCTTTTGCCAATGTTTGTTTCCTTTTCTGAATGTTCTTTATTTTCCATGCATATCTTTTTTTTTTTTTTTTTCTGGTTGCATTTTACGGCATTAACGTGGAGGGATTAATTGTCTGCGTATACGCTCGTTTCTTTATATCATCATCATTTCTTGTCTATATTCTGTTCGAAGACGAGAAGGTATCTGCTGCGAGGCACGGCACGGCATGGGTATGTATGGCATGACATGTTACAGGGAACGAGATGGCACATGGTTTACAAAGCGCCTTGTTGAGGTCGCTATGCTTTTCAGGATGGCAACGGAAAAGAGGCTGAAGAGGCTCTTTGGTAGAGGGAACGAGTGCTGATGCTAGTTGAAGGCAGCCCACGAGAAGCTCGAGGGTGTACTGGAGGTGGTCAAATGTCTGGCAGTCGAGGGCATCCCTTCTTTAGTTGAATGGGCGGCATTTGTGCATTTTGGAATGTCCTTGCTCTTGACTCTTATCGTTCCATATTGCTGTGATTTCTCTGAACTCTGATTAAGCATTATTAACTTATCAACAAAGGGGTATCGTCAGTCTAAAAGAGCGTCTACAGATCTATTCAGCCAAGTCTTTCTTCCCAAAGCTCCGTCACGCTTTTCTCCGTCAGTTCAGGCATCAAGCGAGCAAGTAGCAGCTCAAGAATGCTGTACATCAGATGCTTGTTGCAGTACTCATCGTCCAGCACAAGGAGCAGCCTCTCCATTTCATCTACCAGATCCTCGTCTTCTGATAAATCACCCTCGCTCTCCGCACTTTGCCGCCATAAGCGACCACCAAAATAAAGCCTTCCCACACCCTTCGGTAGCAACCCCCAAAGAGACTTAGCGGCTCTACGACGCAGGGCTTGCAGCTCGGCCTCGGACGATGGTGGGAACAAGGTCGTCTTACCAGGGGCATTGTTGGGAAAGAGGACACCGCGAAGGGTACGCAGAAGAGGGGGCAGATTCGAGGGAGAGAAGAGGGAATTAATGTGATGCGAGAGGAGTCTATGAGAGAGATAGGTTAGCACATATTGGCCTTACTCTGTATTCGAGGTAGTACAACGTGGGGGGTTCAATGATCGGAAACGAAATATGCAATAAGGGGCACGTCGAGTGTATGTCGGGCTAGCCGATGTGATGCGATGCACTGCAATGCAGCGTGAGGATGAGCAACAAGGCTCCAGGCGAGACGAGGCAATCATTAGCCTATTGGCTTTCACTCTCTCTGGGCTGGCGCATAAAGTGGTGTCTTCATGTTGATCCGTCCCACGTTAGATGGATATGGATATAATTGGGACCAGGGAAAGCTCTACAAGATGAGGCTTGCAAGGTGCGGGGAAATGAATGAGGAGGCGCATTCATCGTCCATGTTGGTATAGGTCTCTCATGCAGATAGAGATGTGAGATTACACAACAGGTTTACAATCAGGTCGCGGTTGAGTGTGGGTAGCATATGACCAGTCAGCTCTGTTCTCGAACCACTCCTTCGTCGTCAAGGATCGTGTAAACAGCTCCGTGTGGAGGGTGCAGAAGACTCTGATGGGTCCAACATGTCTCGGGCTCTGAGAAAGAGTTGAGACCGACCGGTCAGACCAGCCCGGTCAAGCCAGACCGATCCTGGAAGGTTCGCGAGAGTTGTGGCCAAGACTGCGGTGAAAATCTTGAGTATGGTTTCCACAGGCCAGTATAGCATAACCTCGCCGGAACTGATAAAGGTAGCCTTCTGACGGGTGGCGCGGCACGGAGCGAGAGTCAATTCAAGCTCATTGCTGCATCGTCAAAGAGCGGGTGGTCCCCTTGGAGAAGCTGACATGGGCAGGGCGCGTAATCTTGACATTTCGCTGGATGAAAATGCCTAGCTTCGTGCACCTTGTCAAGCAATCAGGTGTCAAAGACAGCGCTATGCCTTTCGATTGGTTGAAAGCCCAAATCCCAAGACCCATATCAATCATGATCGCGACCTCGCGGAATATGACAAGAAAAAAGGTCTTGTCTTGGTTTCATAGTCCTCGTGTTGAAATTATGGGCTGTGTGGGTTGCATGGGCGTGCGAAGATGGCGGTTTGGAAGAGGTCATAGACGGCATGGGCCGCTCCCAAGACGAGGCGGGCCGTTTGACCATGCCTGTGCCGCTGAAGAAGTTATTGTCCTGAAAGCTCACTGGAGCTTCAGGAGGTCCAGTGACTTGAGACTCATGCGAGGTGAAAACTGTCTGGTGACGGTGTAGGTGTGTGAAAGTGGAAGTGGAATAGAGACGCTCATATCTTACCTGTCAATAGGGCCATCGTGGCCAGCGATTCGTCCAGGTCCGTTGACCGCGCCGTATTGTAAAAGTGATAGAAATCCATCCAGCCAAGGCATGCGCAAGCTGAGCTCAAACAAATTTCCAAGACATGTCCATACCCGACACGATAGGATCGGCGCCTTAACGGGGTCGAATGACCTCGGCGGAGACTTGTCGTGATCCAGCAAAGCTTCTTTCTCATCCAAGGGCGTGGCCCTAGCGGGAAGGGACGATGCCATCACCAGAGCAGTCGTGATAAACCGGAGCGAGGCAACTAACAGCATCCCAAGCTGAATAACGGCAAGGAACATAGACCTTACAGACCAGCTGCGACGGCCTTTTACGTCAACCTTGGGCCTACCGGCATCGTTTTGGGTCTCTGCAACCACTACCCCTTGGTCTTTTCTCTGTCGCAAAACCCTGGCCGTGATGCAGATGCCCTCATACAGCATCCATGGCTGAGAGGCCTTATTGGCTATGATGTTACCAATGATAAGCTCTGAAAATATCTGTTCCACGAGAGACGTGAGACAAGGGTTCTCGAGGTCTTCTGTGGGCAATAGAATCGCGAGGACGCCCTGAACCAGCAATTGGCGATACAACGCTTCATTCTCTTTCTGGTCGGATATCGTGTCTGGGCAATCTGGATGGGGGACTGGTGCGAGGTGTGGCAGAGGGCACATGGCGTGGTAGGCCTCTCGAGGGTCGACCTCAACAGGCTGTCTGGCGATAGGGCTATGAGAGATACGGTACGCTGGTCACGGTTAGATAGGAACAGCATTAGAGTTCAAGACCTCACATGTTATATGTTTGTCCAGCAAGTCAGGTATCTCATCCAACACGAGGCTCTCTAGATCAACCTTGCGGAACCGCTGTTCCAAGGCTCGGGAACAGTGGGCGATAATGTGTAATATCTCTGATACAAAGTGTTCATCCGTAGTGATTTTGCTATACCAGCTCTGCACGAATTCCCTCATGACAATAGCAAGAAGAGCGTACAACTGAAGGTCAACATCGTTGCGACTAGTCAATGGTGGAAGCAGCTCGTCTATAGGCACTTGCGAATCGCGGCTCTTCTCTCCCAGCTGAGGGGAGCAGAGGGTACGGCGTATCAGAAGCGAAGTCGCTCGGTCGGACAAGGGATCGGTAGCATTAGAGCGCAAAGGACGGCGAGTAGGAGAGGCCATATCGGCAGAGGTCGGCGGCTCGGTATCAAAGGCAACCGATTTGGGGCGTGGGGCTGGCGGACGGGCAGGAGGCACGGCCGGAGCCATAGAGGGGGTAGCGGTCATGACCGAAGTGATCGGCGAGTCTCCAGTATCATGACCTGGTCAGTCAGCGGGAGGAAGATGGCGATGGCGATGGCGAGTTTGAGGGATGCTCGATTTCGAGGTTTGGGGTTGAAGTCAAGTTAACATCGGGTCGCAGGGCAGGCCGCATAGGTAGACTACATTTATTCCATGTTAAGCTCCTGGCTCCTGGCTCCTGCCCGCGCACGGCACGGGTTGGCCCGTCACCTGAACCGTGCGCTGCATGCGCGGGGAGCCCACATGTATGAGATACCTAAGTTAGGTGTACCTAAGGTACCTTACCTACCCATGCTGTAACTTCCGGAGTAGCAGCAATGAGCATTCCAAACAGATTAAAGTGGTATAACTTGATTGAATACACTTCAAGCCATAGAACAGGTAATCAGTACCTACCTACCAAGCCTACCATACCGACTAGGCAAGGTACGGTAGCTACTAACCCTGAGCTGGGGTAATTTTCAGTGACGGAAACGTAGAAATCCTGTTTCGAGAGATGTGCTTTTTCTGCTACCACTCATCCTCAGAAATTTGTAACTCAAAGAGGAATGAGAAATGCTTCCGGTCCTATGAATACTGCCAGCCGGCACCTAGATATACTACAGATTCTGTACATTATTGGTACAACTGCCTCCTCCTCTCTTTTGTCTACACAAGGCTATATTCAGGCGTCCCTTGTGGCCGTCTCATATCTGCAATTGTACGGTCAGCTCAGCTCGTCTTCAACAACGGATTGACAACAACATACCTCTTACCACGGAATGCCCACACCCCCCAGTTACCACAGCTGACATCCTGGGGGTCCATGTCGTTCAGATCCCATCGAAGACTCCTGAAAACATTCTCTCCAGGCTGCAGGAGGATATCAAACTCGCCCTTCGACTTCTTGTTCACCCACTCGACGTCGCGTTCCATATCAAACTGGGTATAGCCTGTGCTGATAATAGGGATCTTAGTCTCAAGGAGAAGCGGTAGGGTTTCTTCCCACTCGTGACTGCTTGCAGGATGACCCAGACCGGGGTGAAATAGCACAAAGCAGTCAAAATAAGGATCATACGGCGCAAAGTGCTGCGTCTGGTGGACTGTGTGGTAGTAATCCACGATTGTACTTATCTTCATCTTGTACCAGACGCGATCCTCTACCACGGCTCCAAAGGGGTTTGAAGGGGTACGTTCTGGCAACGGGAACTCGTCGTCACGGTTGGCCATGCTTTCAGGCCCAACAAAGATGAGGTGTAGTCTGGCCTCGGGGAACATATGTGCCAGCTGAACCCAAGCAGGTCGAGGGAGAGAGGATTCAGCACGAGCTCCCAGAATGAAAATTCTGACAGCTGGTGCTTCGGGTTTAAGCTCACCAACGCCAGTTCCTCGACCTGACTTGGGAGGATGCAAGTTGTATCTCAATGCTGGTATCATCAATCAGTTCATGGCTATTCTCTGGTCAGTCGTTGCACTAACCGCTGAAACTCTTCAATCCCTCTGTGGTCATTCGCTCTCCAGCCTTGATGCTGTAAGGGCTAAGTTCATGGAGAATACTGCCAATGGTTACGGGATAAGTCAAGAGCCGGGTGATCTGTCTCATCTGACGATCAGAGTTTACAGCATCAAACTCTCTTGTATACATGAAAGTATCCCAATTGGTCATGTTGATCGCCGCATGTTCCATCTGAAGATCTGGGAGGTTGCCTTCTTCGAATACTCGGCCCGAGCGCAAATCGTGGTCATCTTCGTTAATTTGTCTAAGAGTGTCGCAAACTTCCAAGTGCTTTTCGTAATCATCCATCCAATGTTCCTCGCAGCAATAAACTGGTAAGCCACAGTCTGGGCATTCAAAGTTGACGTGCTGGGGCGGCTGGGTTCCTTTCGCAGCCTCGGGGTCCTCGGGTTTCGGGGCAATGGTAGGGAGCTTCGTTTGCTGATGGTCGGGGTGAGGACAGTAGGCATGCTGTCGCATAAAAGCAGCTCGTTGCCTGAACTCTGGTACTGGCGACTTTGAAAACGGGTGAAAGAGGTTGTCTTGACTCAGGCGTAATGGTGACGGAGACGACTTGTTGGTCATAGGTGCGGTGGCCTCGGATTTTGTCACTGAGGAAGTGGAAAAGTCCCTATTCTTGAGCGTGGGCGAAGCTCTTCTTTGGTCCTTGGTAGTTGAATGTCTGCGGATATGATGGGCTGATATCCTCATCCATGGCCTAGCTGCCGCTCCAGAGGCCAATTGCCTCCGAACAGTTGCAGAACATTGCCCACAGATGCTCGAGGCTGCTTTCATCAGATTGGGCTCCATCTTATAGACAAAACCAGCCAGATCCGACACAGTTCAATACCTAGATTTCTTCGGAAGGCCTGATATCGCTGAAGTGGGATAATTCAAAGAGCTCGGACCACAATCGTCTGTGCCGCAAAATAATTCCTCCGAAGCGCGCCAAACTTTTGACATCAAAGCTCGCTCAAGTTTCAAAAAGCTCCAACTATCAGCTTCGACGCGACACAATCAGACCTGCCTTTGTCTTTGAAGCCGCGCAGGCTCATCTGCGCCTAGCCGCAAACATGGCGACCACGTCGAACATGTTCATGTACTCGCTGACAGTTCAGCCGCCGACAAACGTCACGCAAGCGGTCCTGGGCCAGTTCGCAGGCACTAGAGAACAGCTAATCATCACTGCTGCTGGCTCGCAGCTCTCCCTACTAAGGCCCGATCCATCCCAGGGAAAGGTAATTACCCTCCTATCACATGATGTCTTTGGCATCATCCGTTCCCTCGCCGCTTTTCGGTTAGCTGGTAGCAATAAGGGTAAGTCATTCCAATTCCCCTCTCAGGAAAATCACTTAGTGATATTCGAAAGCGATGCCACAGACGCGTCGACCACAGCGCTACCGAGTACTTGATGTCCTGTCGCAAGAATCTCAAAGCTAACAAATCTTCCAGACTACTTGATCATTGCGTCCGATTCTGGTCGTATCACAATCATTGAGTACCTCCCTGCACAAAACCGCTTTCACCGTTTACATCTCGAAACTTTTGGCAAATCTGGTGTACGGAGAGTCATTCCTGGCGAGTATCTAGCCTGCGACCCTAAAGGCAGAGCATGCTTGATAGCCTCAACTGAGAAGAACAAACTTGTCTATGTTCTCAACCGTAACTCACAAGCCGAGCTCACAATCTCGTCACCGCTCGAGGCCCACAAACCTGGCGTCCTGGTCATCTCCATGGTTGCACTTGATGTTGGCTACTCGAACCCAGTGTTTGCGGCGCTCGAGATTGACTACTCTGAGATTGACCAAGACTCGACCGGCCAAGCAATGGAAGAGTTGGACACTCAACTGGTCTATTACGAGCTTGATTTGGGACTCAATCACGTTGTGCGCAAGTGGTCAGACCCTGTTGACCCAACAGCCTCAATTCTGTTCCAGGTCCCCGGTGGGAATGATGGGCCTAGTGGTGTGCTGGTGTGCGGTGAAGAAAATATCACATATCGACACTCGAATCAGGAAGCATTCCGTGTCGCCATCCCTCGTCGACGCGGCGCCACTGAGGATCCAAACCGCAAGCGCACGATAGTGTCTGGTATCATGCACAAGCTGAAAGGCAGTGCAGGCGCATTTTTCTTCCTCCTTCAAACAGATGACGGTGATCTCTTCAAACTCTCGATTGATATGATTGAGGATGAGGAAGGCAACCCCACTGGAGAAGTCAAAAGACTCAAGATCAAGTATTTTGACACCGTTCCGGTCGCCTCAAGTCTCTGCATCTTGAAGAGCGGTTTCCTCTACGTTGCTTCTCAGTTTGGTAACTACTCATTTTACCAATTTGAAAAGCTCGGTGATGACGATGAGGAGCTAGAGTTCTATAGTGATGACTTCCCAGCGGATCCCAGGGCTTCTTACGAACCAGTTTACTTCCACCCTCGGCCAACTGAAAATCTGGCCCTAGTCGAGAGCATTCCTGCTATGAACCCCCTCCTAGATTGCAAAGTCGCAAATCTCACTGGAGAAGACGCCCCTCAAATCTACACGATTTGTGGCAATGGCCCCCGAAGTAGCTTCAGGATGCTCAAGCATGGCTTGGAAGTCAACGAGATTGTTGCCTCTGAACTGCCTGGAATTCCTTCTGCTGTTTGGACGCTGAAGCTGAATCGCTCAGAACAGTACGATGCCTACATAGTACTATCATTTACCAACGGTACGCTAGTCCTCAGTATTGGTGAGACTGTTGAGGAAGTCAGTGACTCTGGTTTTCTCACAAGTGTTCCAACGCTAGCGGCGCAGCTCCTTGGTGACGATGGACTGATCCAGGTTCATCCCAAGGGCATTCGACATGTGCGTAATGGTCATGTCAATGAGTGGGCCGCCCCGCAACATCGCTCCATTGTTGCTGCTACAGCCAATGCTCATCAGGTCGCTGTCGCTCTCAGTTCTGGTGAGATCGTCTACTTCGAGATGGATGCGGACGGCTCACTGGCTGAGTATGACGAAAAGAAGGAGATGTTCGGTACCGTTACTTGCCTAAGTCTGGGTGACGTCCCCGAAGGACGATTGAGAAGTTCATTTCTAGCCGTTGGTTGTGACGACTGCACTGTCCGCATACTCAGCCTAGATCCAGAATCGACTTTGGAAAACAAGTCAGTTCAGGCTCTTACGGCTGCGCCAACATCGCTGGCAATCATCGCAATGGATGACTCCTCGTCTGGCGGTTCTACCCTCTATCTCCACATCGGTCTACACTCTGGTGTCTATCTCAGGACAGTTCTTGACGAAGTCACTGGTGAGTTGACCGACACACGTCAAAAGTTCCTCGGTCCCAAAGAAGTCCGACTTTTCCAGGTCACAGTTCAAGGCAAGACGTGTGTGCTTGGTCTCAGCTCCAGGCCTTGGCTTGGTTACTCAGACCCGATCACAAAAGGTTTTGTGGTGACGCCCTTAAACTACGTCGACCTTGAGTGGGGTTGGAACTTCAGTAGTGAGCAGTGCGAAGAAGGCATTGTCGGTATTCAAGGTCAATCATTACGGTACGTTTCTATTCCTTTTTGTTACACCTGATATCCAGTTGCATATGATGAGAAAACGGGATCCTATGCTATAAGCAGTGAGGCCTATTACGCATTTTTCCAATTGTTCCTACTGAAGCAACACATTCCTATAATGTTTTTGTGGCATCGTAAAACGAGGCATGCACTAACACTGGCAGAATTTTTAATATCGATCGGCTTGGCGATACGCTCATCCAGAAATCAATCCCTTTGACTTATACCCCGAAGAAACTTGTAAAGCACCCTGACCAGCCTCTCTTCTATACCATCGAGGCAGACAACAACACCTTACCACCTGAGTTACGTGCCCAACTTTTGGCAGACCCTAAAATCGTCAACGGTGATTCCAGAGTGCTCCCACCTGAAGATTTTGGGTATCCCAAAGGTACGCGTCGATGGGCATCTTGCATTAATGTGATAGATCCGCTTTCCGAGGAAGGACAGGTTGTGCAAACGATTAATCTGGAGAACAATGAAGCGGCAGTCAGTGCAGCAATCGTGTCTTTTTCAAGTCAAGATAACGAGAGCTTTTTGGTAGTTGGTACCGGCAAAGACATGGTGGTCAATCCTCGCAGCTACAGCGAAGGATATCTACACATTTACCGATTTCAAGATGGGGGGCGAGAACTTGAGTTCATTCACAAAACCAAGATCGAAGAACCACCTCTGGCTCTTTTGGCTTTCCAGGGAAGAGTGGCTGTTGCAGTTGGAACACAGTTGCGTATATATGATCTCGGCATGAGACAGATGCTTCGCAAATCTCAGGCTGAAGTAGCAGCGCAGCAGATCGTGTCGCTGAACACCCAGGGCAGTCGAATTATCGTCGGTGATGTTCAACAGGGCGTAACCTACGTGGTATACAAGCCTGCGTCGAACAAACTCATTCCCTTTGTTGATGATACTATCGCAAGGTGGACCACATGCACGACCATGGTAGATTACGAGTCGGTGGCTGGCGGTGATAAGTTCGGAAATATGTTCATTGTCCGCTGCCCTGAGAAGGCCAGTGAAGAGGCTGACGAGGAGCAAACGGGCTTGCATCTTATCAATGCGCGAGAATATCTTCACGGTACACCTCACAGAGTGAGTCTGATGTGCCACTTCTATACACAGGACATACCGACCAGTATCACCAAAACGAGTCTGGTTGTTGGTGGGCAGGAAATTTTACTATGGAGCGGTATCATGGGCACTATCGGGGTTTTCATACCATTTGTCAGCCGTGAAGATGCGGACTTCTTCCAGAATCTCGAACAACACCTGAGGACCGAGGACCCCCCGCTCGCCGGACGAGATCATCTTATGTATCGCGGCTATTATGCTCCTGTCAAGGGGGTCATTGATGGCGATCTATGCGAACGGTACAACCTCTTGCCCAACGACAAGAAGCTTATGATTGCCGGCGAATTGGACCGATCGGTCCGAGAGATCGAGCGGAAGATTTCTGTAAGTTCTCCTTGACCCAACATTTGTGTCCTCGCAGTGTGCTGACTAAACTTTAGGATATTCGTACGCGGTCTGCATTCTGATGAAGGAAAGCGGTATCTTTAGTATATCCTATGAAGCTATTGTACAAAACTTGAAGTGTTTGGGTTGTTGGCGGCGTTAACGTACAGGCCTAAAAGTCCCTGTCTTGGAAGAAAATAGGTAATCAGCGAACCGAATCGTGTGTTGAGAACCGCAACGCGGTACCAACCATGAATCTCATACTCAACCCGAAGCTCGATCAGAGTCCTCTCCAAAACGGGCCACGGTTTTTATATTTGTCGGCCTTCTTGCCCTTGCCAGAGGCTGGATTTTCTTGCTCCCATGTTTCATCGTCCAAATATGCTGTAACAGCGTTCTCCAGATCATAGCTAGATTGCTCCAAGTACAGCACAGCAATGTCATAGTCGGAGACTTTGCAGGATGTCATGAAGCGGCGAATCTTGCCCTTCCTCAGCTCCTCATCTTCGCCCTCGATGGGCCGTGGTGAGAGGCTAACTCCGCCCCTGTAATACTCTCCAGGAATCAACACGGTTCGTCTTCCGAGAAGCAAGTGGTCACTCGTGATGTTGTTACTTCGTCGCAGAGCATGAGCGGGCACGCCGTATCGAAGAGATAAGGAGCTGATGCTGTCATGGCGATGGTCAAGGAAATGCAGGATATCCGGAGCATCTTCTTTGGTAGCAGCCTGCGCCAATGCTGCCTTCTCGTCGTCGGCATTCGGCGTAGATGAGGCTACGGAGTATGGTGGCGGCGCGCCAGAGATATGTGTAGTCCTCGAACTGGACGACGGCAGCGATGTATAAGCCGGCGGTTCCCTCAACCCCTGCGGCAGAGACGTCGGTCCGGTCGAAACCTGACAGTATGGACAATAGTCGGCAAATCGCTCGTTCTTCTACCAAGAAAGAGTATCAGCTTCAGCCTAGATAAAAAATGATTGTTTAGACAGATGACGAACATGGATACATTTGCCACAGATGATTCTCGCACAGCATGCGACTCGACGATCTTGCGGAAGAGATAGCTTCTCTTCCGTGTACGCTGGCGTTGAGGAGAGGATGATTGCACATGTCGAGCAAGACTCCATGATATCGCGAATATTGAAGATCAGCTTGTTGAGTAAAGATTTAGGAAAACAGATCCGTATCTACCTAAGGATTCTACAGTACGTTTGAAGGTTGCACACCTATCCTCCCCCGAAGGTCGTGGTTGTCCAATCACGTCATGGGGGCGCTAGTGGCCTGTATAGACGCCACCCCACTGTAAAGGTACAGTATCGATCATATCCACGCGACTCAAAAAGACGTTATCATAAGCAGAAATGCATTAGAAAGAAAAACAATAAACTACGTATATTCTGACTGCTCAGCCTAAAGGTTTCCTCTTATTATCAAAACCCCTGCGCAAGTTTCTATATTTCCATCCTATCCCAATCAAATGTGACCTTGATTCTCAGGTGTCTCCGCTGAGCTTTCCACCTCTGTCGCATTCCCCAGCCAAGACTCTTCAACCTTAACCTCCTCCATTTACCAGGCCCACCATTTCCAACATCGCGTTGCGTCTATACGTGTTCAACCTACCTATACTTGACCCAAGCCATATCACAGCGATCTATAAGAGCGCCCAATATGAGCAAACCATTGGCCTTCGGCCTCAACCTTAGCAAGAAGCCAGGCGCGTCGAAGCCCCCTCCACCAAAACGAAGGCCGATGTTTGGTGACGATGATGATTCCGACAACGAAGGCACAGTCGCAGAGGGCAAAGTTGAAGAGATTGGAGAGTTCAATGACCTTGGCCGGGCTCATAACGCAAAATCCAACAACCCCAAATTAGGCAAACCGAAGAGTGGCCCTCCTACTCAACCCCCGAAGCTCAAATCCAAGGGTCAGCCAAATATAATGTTTGGTGATCTCTCAAGCTCTCTAGCATCACGAAGAAACGCTGAGGCTGCCACGGAAGTCGATGCTAGCGTCTACGAGTACGATTCTGTTTACGATTCTCTCAAACCAAAGAAACAGGTCACGAAGGAGGATCAAGAAAAACAGCCAAAATATATGAAAAATATCCTGCAGGCAGCCGACATACGGAAGCGTGACGCATTAATTGCCGAGGAGAAGAAAATTGCGCGGGAGCGAGAGGCCGAAGGGGAGGAATTTGCCGACAAGGAAAAGTTTGTCACAGAAGCATATCGTAAGCAACAGGAAGAGAATAAGAGGCTTGAAGAGGAAGAGAGGAGACGGGAAGAGGCAGAGGCAAAGAAGAATGAGAGTGGTGGCATGTCTGCCTTCTACAGAAAACTCCTCGATAAAGATGAGCAAAGGCATTCGGATGCTGTTAGGGCGGCTGAGGAAAAGGTTAAGCACGGCGCACCCGAGGAGGAGGATGATGCAGATGCTGGCAAGCAAGAGAAGGAGAAGACAGAGGCCGATGTCGCCAAGGAGCTTAACGAGAAGGGCGCCACAGTTGCCATCAACGAAGACGGTCAAGTAGTGGACAAGCGCCAGCTTCTCAGGGGTGGCTTAAACGTTGGCGTAAAGAAGAAAGAATCAGTCCAACGCGAGGCGGAACGACAAGCTGAGCGGCCGCGGAAGGATGTCGCAAATCAACAGTTTGGAAGAAAACAAGCTCAACGAGAACGACAGTCACGCATGATCGAGGAGCAGCTCGAGCAGTCAATGAAGCGATCACGAGATGAAGAAGCGGCACAAAGGGAAGAAGCTGAGCGAGCATCGAAGAGCCGGAAGACAGAGGGCGAGATCTTAAGTGCGAAGGAACGATACCTAGCTCGAAAACGAGCGGCCGAAGAAGCGAAGAAGGCCGCTGGTGGAACTTAGATGCCCAAACTCGGGAATTGAAGAAGGTTGTGTACAATGACATGGCATGGCTTTTGACACAACATCCCAGTCATATCTCCTCCGATTCGTCTATTGCCCTGTTCTATCCTTGATCGGTTCTTGGTACATGATAACATCTCCCCGTGGGCGTCATCCGACCCGTGTTGTCACAATATGTTACAATCTTGCGCTTTCATGAAAATTGTCGCAAGCCGTTGGTTTTTTTATTTTGAGAATCTTCGCGTCTTCAATTCTGCAAGCTAGCAGACTCTTGCCTTAATCGGGCAATGTATGCTGCGTTGACCATGTTCCAAGCGGCCATGTACTTCTCCATGCAGCTGGTCATGCAAGTCGTCTCGCCGCTCGATAGAGAAGTTCCGGGCTTGGGGACGCACTTCTCAAAGCAAGTCTCTTGGAGTTTCTGTCGTAAGCTATTGTTAGTCTTGGGCAGAAGGTAAGGAATTGCGAAATGGACGAACCTCAATGAGAGTGCGGGCGTTAACCAAGTTGGCCTCCTGCTGGACCTGCTTGATGACAGCAGCCTTGACTTGTGTGGAATCCATGGTTGTGATGTTTGTTTGACAGTCGTGACGTTGTCTGTAAAGGTTGGTCGCCTGTCCATCGCAAAAACGTAGCGGGGTGGAAAAACTATCGGTCCGGGGCAGGAATTGAAATCAAACCTGCACAGCGAAACCAAAATCAATTTCATTGACTTACAAAAGCTCCTGGATTTGGTAGGTCAATAGTCGTTTCACACCCAAGCACTTAACCTCAGATTGCTATGGCTTCTAGCTAAGTCTCTGTGTTTCTCATGATCACGGATAGTGACAGGTATCAACATACAGACGTAACTTGCTTGCAACCTGGAGGTAAACCAACAACGATACCATCATTACAAGCAGAAAACATTTGTTATGTGTTAAGGGCCTTGGTTGTAGTTGAGACCTGTTTGTTGGACTGCGAAACACGCTGTGTTCTCCTTTGGAGATACCGCATTGGTATCCTCAATGTTGGCCTGCTAAATGTAAGCTGATATAGATTCCCTCCAGCGTTGAAACCCAACATGCAACTGAGGCGTCGGAAGCAGTACTACCTATCCGTACCTACCTACCTAGACTCATACTATGAGTCTAGGTAGTAAGGGTATCGAGATGTGTTATTCCCGGTGCTGACTTGTGGCGTGGGGCTTCCCACCGTTATCGGTTCATTTCTTCCTCGCCCTCCAGTAAACAGAAAATGCGTCACTTTACGCTGAGGGAGGTCTTGGGATTATCACCCCTGACCAGTGCCCGAAGTGTTCAACTTTCTCCGTATGGCATCCGGGGAGGTTCAAATCGGAATCTTTCCAGCCACGGTGATACTTTCGAGTTCTTCCTTATACGGGAACCCGAAAAATATGTGCTTCTATCAATTCCGAGAGATAGACCCATCTCGTCCCTCCGGCTCCCTCAGCTTCATTGCGATCTCCTACCGTCCGTACACTTATCCTAGTGCGGGACCCGATCCTGTTGCCATCCTCATCGACATATACGTTTACATTATTCGCTATGGTCTAACCGCTGCTGTTAGGGATGGATGTGACTCGGGAGGGAATAAACCGCCATCCCTAACACCGTGCAGAATGCAGAATACCTGCAAAACCCTCGAATGCCTGAGGCTCGTTACTGCCCCCGAGTAGGTAGGTAGTGGACTTGAGCCAGCTCTTGGAGAAACGGTGACGGTGCCATTGTTATAAAACGGCTACGTGAGAGTGTTGGATAAAGAATATGGAGACATGATTGAAGTGCCAGAGAAGAGGTAAGTTGCGGATAGTAGTGTTTCGAGGGCCTCAGCTCATGTTCCAGTTCAAAGAATGTTGATAAACCTGGGCCATGCCTATGTGGTCCATCAAAGTTGAAGATCTTGAAATATCCAATGAACGACAGGTCCTTTCCTACCCGAAACCTCCAAAGAACGGCTGTCTTCAACCCAGTGTCGCTGCAGAAGTATCTGACCATCATATTTGGATTGCCAATCGGATTCACGACGTCAAGCCCTTCTTGCATATTGGTATAAGGAAAGGACCTATTGCTTTCCCGATTCCGTTCAAGAAGCCAGGCTACACATTAGTCGTCACCTTCTGTCATCAGTCCGCGTCGAGTTAGACACGATGTAAGACTCGAACTTACTGTTCTCTGTTGTTCACTGCCCAACACCATCGCACATGACTACGGTCCTCATACCCATGGCTTCCATCTGAGCATTTACTAGTTTGCAGGGCCTGCTATATCTACAGCAGATGTTTTAGAAGCACGGACGAGTGTCCATTGTACCATTGCCGATGCATCTATCAGTCTGTTTTGTCTAGCTTTGTCGCATTCGACAGCAAATACATACATGAAGGGGTTTCGACGGAGCTTGAGGCCTGTACTTTCCTGGCTAACAGCTAAATCTACTGGACATCGTATTTGAAGGGCTCAAATTCAAATCGCAACTCAGGGGCCCTGCCTTAGTGGGTAAACTCTCCAGCCCAATATGGACAAGATTGTGGTTTTCTTCTTCAAGACCAAGCATAAAGCCCAGAACTCAATGAAAAAAAAGAGATGTTGCGAGACTAAAAGTCAAGCGTGAGGTTTCGAAAAATTGTTCACACGGATAGCCCGAAGCCCGAAGGATACAACAGACAGACCCTTGGCAGAAGAAGCTACTCAAGACTACCGAGCAAGAGAAGCACAGCCATAGGTTCCAAAAATTGTGATATCTTGAAGAAAGGGTCCCCCCCGGTTTGACCCGGGGTAAACCACCTTCAACAAGAGAAGCATGAGAAGAAAAGAAAAGAAAAGCATCAACAGACGGAAGCCCAGGATTTTATAGTGCCCCAGTTTCCCACTGGTCTGGCTGGAAGCTGGAGGTTCCTTCCCTCGCTCTACTGTTGATCTGTTGCGGGCAGCTGGCGGACAGGTTCCTTCCCTTTCAACGCTGGTTCTCGGGCTCTCGCCATCAAATCGGAAGGAACTTGGTCGCCGGCTACCTACTAACTCAGGTACCTATCGTACTGGCGAGCTTCATCTTGGGCAAGTACGATATGGGTATTTCTAATTGTGCGAGGTAACAAGGCCGTCTCCCTACCTACCTACTAAGTATTGCTGGAAGGCAATGGGATGATCTTTCCGTTGTATCCCCTTCCTTGTGGGTGACCGGCACACAGTCTTGTCTGGCTTCGGCCTTGACCTAGGTACCCGTAATGGCTCATGTGTTGCAGGTATATATATCAAATTAACAATATCACAGGAACCTTCGGGCTGGTGGCACAACAAGAGAAGCATGGCACTTGGAGAAACCACCTTTTTTGTACAGGGGTTTCATTATTCGAACCCCGCCTAAATAGACAAATAACAGTGTTTTCCTTTGCTTTTCTTTGCCTATAACCCTCCCTTTCCGTTTCTTTGAAACAGAGTGGTACAAAAGCTGCAGACTAGATTTAAATAGTCAGGGAGGCCAATTTTTGGAGGTACGATTATCAAGAATGGGTCATTCAGAACATCCCATGGAACCACCAACACCAAGTTAAGTTGGTAATAAACAATATATCTGCGTGAGATTACCGCCATATGTTTGTCAGGATCGTTTTCAACAGAGATAATCAGTACAACAAGACTCGTTCTCCTGCGAGTACATCGATTACACTGGTGGCCAAGACTCGCAGCATTATAGGCAAGCGAAAACGAACACAAGCTTGGTACCGAATTCAACGATTAGCTCCTTGTGTGGATTGAGGACAAGATCAAGCCTAACAGAACAAGAGTTATCTATCCCTGGTGGGCTGGACGCTGTTGTGCAGTTGTTTCAGGTATAAGGAGGCCAAATTTTCTAGTAATAACTTATGTATGAACTCGTATTTCCTTTTGCTTCGCGATAACTAATGAATGCCTTTTGACGCTATAGTATCATCTAGTCGTTAGCGATGGAATACATGGTTCACAGTGGACGGGCTGAGGGTCTGAAATAAAGCAATACATGTGAAAGACAATGTGGCTACTGTGGCTTTAGAGTTTCGTCAAGGAGTGGCAGGGGTTCCAGCATCCAGAGTGGGAAAGTACCTGCAGTGGGGAGCACTCACCTAGAATCGTTTCGGCCACAGGCAAAGTCTAGAGGAAGAGGACACTTGTGCTAGCTCCTTGTCCCGATTAACAACCCCCAACATTTATCCACAACGTCACAACGAAGTTTGACAGCGACCACTGTGGTCAATTTCTTCTTGTTCTAGCACCAGACCTCACGATTTTGTTGCCGCATCCCAGAGCGGTTTGCGCCCATATCGAGCCAGCTCTAATTGGCCCTTAAGAGAGAAGAGAGCAGGGAAGAGACACCATCATAATATAGCTTCATCATGCGGTTGCCCTCACTATCAGCAGCGCTCCTTGGTGCGCTCGCATGGACTGCCCGCGCCGATGATCTTGATGATAACATCAGGAGTATTTCGGTATGTTCCCCTGCCTTCTTCTGGCGGATCATCTTGAGCTTCTCTGCTAACATTCTTCACTCTCTAGCTCAGGACACATTCCTTGACCCAGGTTAGTTGCGGCGCACGCGAGCAGACATTCACGGATCGGCAGATCAATTAACTCTTTCACCCGACAGCCCTACCTGGACTCGGATATGCAAAGCCGCTGGTACGACTTTGGCGGAGATACCATTATTCGAACCGATTCGTATGCATCCTCAATTCGCTGACAACGGTATACTTCGGATGTGGGTTGACTTGCTACAGGTACATTCGACTTACTTCGGATCGTCCATCGCAGTCAGGTTGGATGTACTCACGAGTCCCCCTGACTGCGACAAACTGGCAGGTCGAGGTCGAATTCAAGATCTCGGGCAAGAACCAGCTCTATGGAGACGGTTTTGCTATGTGGATTACCCGCCAACGTGCGCAACAGGGTACTGTCTTTGGAGGACCCGATAACTTCGAAGGCCTCGGAGTCTTCATCGACACTTACAAAAACAACCGTCCCGGCGTT